CCACACGAACCCCCCCCCCCCCAGCCCCCCAAGGATGAGAGAATCTTGAGGAGTTTATCTGTGTGTTTGTTCCTGTCTGGGTGTGAGTGTGTGTTTTTCCTGTATTTGTTGCACGCTGAGCCCAGGCACATCAGCAATGTCACCACTGCCCCCTATTTCTCATGCGCTTTTCAAAAACCTGTTGATTCAAACAAAACATCCATCTCCGACACAGCTCTCCCTCTGTCCTCCAGGGATGGACTGAATGAGATATGCAACCGGAGCGAGTGTTTTTTTTTTCTCCATTCTTTAATACACAGTGTTTTGCTCTTCCAAAGCATCTCTTTCCCCAGTGAGTGATGTGAGAGGCGAAGAGTAAGCTTGAAACTACAGCACAGGTTGAGCATGCTACATGCTCTTCCAACGACTTGCAAATCTCTGACAATGACAGTGCCACTGCTACCTCTTCTGGTGGACGTGCAAATACACTTTATTCTCGTAGGACAAAAAAAAAAAAAGGTTCTTGATGTCACACCACTGGCATCGCAATGCTCTCCCCCCATTGGGCCCAGCCTGATTTTTTCTTTTTTTTTGGTCCACGGACCGCTTTATTGTCAGACAATATTTTTAGGGATCGGCCTTCAAGGCCAGATAAATACAATAAAATAATATGATATGACCTGCGTGAAAACTGTGGTATTTTTGTAACATAATAATAAACACGAATCATCACACGAGGAAAGTCCGATCTGGCCTCAACACTCTGGTCGCTATGGTAACATTTAAACGTGCTTTCAAAATAAGATACATCGCAAATGAAAAGTGCATGAATAATACAACTCACCATCGCCACATGTTATGCAGAGTGGGCTTGGTGCGTGGGAATCTCCCGTTGAGATAAATCCGTGTCTTAAGTAGGACTCCTGATACTGTCTCATTAAATGTAGCCTTCTTTTCCTTGGAAGTCGTAGGCTCCTCTTCTGTCTCCTGCCTGGGTCTTTTCCCATTCCCAAAGGGACTTTCCAAAGATGCGTTTTATTTATTTATTTATTTATTTTTAACTCATTTTGCTAGCTCCCAGGTTTCATTTTAGCGGTATCCTATCACGTGACCGAGAAGCACTGCCTTCACCTGCATCAAGAGTGACATACTGTAGACGGATATAACAGCGAATCCGGTAATTTTTCAAGATAAAACAGCTTTCAGATTCCTCAATGAATTAAACGGAAGTAATGTAAGTTATTTATTTTTTCTGTGCGGCCCGGCACCAAATGACCCGGGGGTTGGGGACCAATGCTCTACAATACAGTAAACATTCTCTAGTACGGACTCGTGTTTGCGCTGTCCAATTTGTCCTGATAACAGAAATTCCTCATTTAGGAAATTAGCATGGTACATGTCCTTTATGAACCTGCAAGTATGTTGACAAAATGCACGTGTAACAACACAATCAATAAGATAGAAAAATATACTGTCCAAAAGCTGTTTATATAACAAAAACTGCAATACAGGTGTATCCCAAAAAAATCACAACAGTAAAATACGTACAGTATTTTAATGTTTATTTTTTTCTGTCTTTGGAAAAAAATATGTCTATTTTGGATTGTTTTGTTGGATGCATTCTTTGGTTTATGACAATGTTTGCCTGCGTGTCATACAGTTTTGTTGCTAGTTGCAAGTAACTGTCCCGTTGATCACCGATGTCTGGTAATTCTTGTGCATACTGACGGATTTTTGTTACCATTTGCATTGCTTCCTTGCTGGATGGTGGCTTGTCATCAGGAGTTGAATCGATGCCTTTTTTTTTAAAGTTTCATAGATTTGCGTCTTTCCGACTCCGAGTGTCTGCTGGATGTTTTGAACTTTGTGTCCAACCTCGCTCAAACTGATGCATTTCACTCACTCCACTCCAGTCATTACAGTTCTTCTACGTTTCGATGCCATGATCTATGCTGATGCTTTGAAGCTAGTGCCGCGTTCTACAGGACATTAAGTGAATAAAGTTAAAATCATTCACAATTACAGTAAAACGCACGCCAATAAAAACTCACTTACACGTCGTCATTTCGAATCCGATGATCGAAAAACGCGAAGTGAAAATGTGTCTCAGCGTCATGTCTTTCTGTAGCATCGGGTGGGCGTTGCGTGTATTTAAGCTCCCGCGGCATGACGTCTCAATCCGGGTTACGGGTCGTGGAATTTCCGCTTACGTAAGTTCCGGTAACATGTAATATCGTAGTCAAAATGTTAATTTATAGGTTTTTGTTGCGGGTGAAAGAAATTCCTTTTCATAGAATTCCGGAGATGGGAATATTTACTATATATATATATATACATACATAAAATAATGTAATTTTTTTCCCCCTGGTGCAAATTCGTGCTTTGCCCTTGCGTTTCGGAAGTGACATTTTATGGCAGGCCTACCTGTAGTTGTCATGGTGGACTGCTGTTAATAGGTTTTCGAATGTCTTTTCAAACATAGTTGTATACATTTGAGAATAAAGGCAAAATGATTTTAGTTAACAATGTCTTACAGCATCTGTCTTTTCCTTGGTCTTTTTATCATTTTATCAGACAAGCGCAACAATTGCAGTTGAAACATTTATTGTGATATTAAAACACGTACAGCACAATCATGATATGCACTGTTTTAAGAATCATATTTTTTTTTTTTTTGTGTCGGTGACATTAAGTGTGGTAGAGAGATGTGAGTTTCCAGATATAATTTTCTGGTTAGAGGACCGTAAATTGAACTGCTTCGCACACTAATTGCTGACCAAATACAGTATAGTTCAGCCTCAGGGTATCAGATCTAATTGCTCGAAGTATACCTTTGGCTGTATCCCATACTTGTTTGTAGGACTGAGTGATATGGTCTAAAAAATTATCTTGATATTTCAAAAAAAAAAATCACAAATATTAATTAGATGATATTCTACCAAAAAAATACTGCAAATTTGCACTTGCTTCACTGAAACATTATGAAGAGGCATTTTTTCTGAACAACAATTATTGTTTGTATTTTAAATTGCTTCGTAATAAAAAATAAAAAAAAACATTGTACAGCAATATGCTACAGCAATATTTAACAAATAAAAAAAACTTCAAATTATGCCCAGCGTACTTTGGGTGTTTTCATTGATTTTTGTGAATGCTTATGCCGCTTAAATGTTTGCTATTACACCATAATGACAACAACATCAGATAAGGAAACCTTTATTTGTCCCACAATGGAGAAATTTGCATAAAAGTCAGTCTACCACTGCCACTAACTACAGCAGTCAGAATGTAGCTCTCTATTTACCGGTCCATCTACGTTCCTACCCTCACCCATGGTCACGAGCTTTGGGTTGTGACCAAAAACACAAAATCTGGCCTGAAATGGAAGCACTTGAAATGAGTTTCCTCCGCAGGGTGTTTGAGCTTTCCTGTAGAGATAGGGTGAGAAGCTCGGTCATCCAGGAGGGACACAGAGTCAAGCCATGTTGCGAGTAGACAGATGAGGTAGCTTGGGCATCTGGTTAGGATGCTTCTTGGACGCCTCCCTGGTGAGGTCTTCTGGGCATGTCCAACTCGCAGCAGGCTCTGGGAATGACCCAGGACATGATGGAGAGACTGTCTCCCGGCTGGCCTGGGAATGCCTTGGGATCTTTCCGGAGTGTTGGAAGAAGTGGCTGAAGAGAGGGAAGTCTGGGTTTCTCTGCTGAAGCTGCTGCCCACTAGACTGACCTTGGATAAGGGGTAGATAATGGGTGTGTGGATGGAGGTAAAGAAAAAGTCAGCTGGTGGCAGTCATCACCTGCTGTCATTGGGTGTGAAATGACTGAAAACGTGCAATATGATGTTTCACCTTTGAGAGGTGCTAGACCTGAGCACAGTCTCTAGAACGCGGAAGACAAAAGCTGCTTCAGTAGCTGGAACAATACGCATACTGCAAGATTTGTCAGTTGATGGGAAAATCTACACAGCCCGGAAAGTGCACAACGGATCGCCTTTTCTGATTTGAGCACACCATTGAATATGCCCCTGTTTGAATAATATTGTCTTTTGTTGTTTATACCCTCCAGGTTTGTAAGCGAATGGATATGATCTGCCAGCGTGTTCTTAATCAGGGCTTCCTCAAGGTGGAGCGTTATCACAGCATGTGTCAGAGGCAAGTCAAAGCTCAACTTCCGAGGTAAGTGTCATATGTCAGAAGAAGTGCTTACATTGATGCTTATTCAGTGGCACCATGCAGGGGTCTGGTGATGCACGATGCCAACTCTTTATTTTATGCCCAACCCCATGATTAAAGTCTAAGGCCTAGTACATTAGTGTTTTGACGTGATAAAATTTGCCTCTTTTCACTATTGCTTCTCAAATAGTGGGGCGCACGCACAGCAGAGAGCAGCGGACGAGCTCGAGTGGCGTCGCCACAACAGTAATACCCTCGCCTCGCATTCTCATGGCCTCGTCATACCTCTGAGATTTCGAAATTTCGGCGAGAACGGAAGCCACAAAGGGTGCATGAGCCCAATCACTTAACTTGATTTGCAGGCCCGAGCCCGAAGCAAACCCGAGATTTCATATTTTATTTGTGAGGACTCGGGAAGAGGAGGGGTGATTTCTGATAACAAAGCCTGTCTTTTGGAACGAAATCTAAGTTAAACAAGACTGGATAAACATTTGCATCTTTTATATTTCTGTTCCTGAAGAGGTTACATTAGCGGACAATTTTCCATCATTGACGGATTTTTTTTAAGAGTGGACGGAGAAAATTTAAGGCCGTCCGTCATTTTGACGGGTTGAAAATTGAGCCATTCACCACAGCAGCAGTACGTCCTTAAGAATCGAGTGCGGCACTTGAAGAGAGAGAAGCAGCGAGACCAAAAAGAACAATGACGGCTGGATCATAAAGATATGAAGGAGTTTTTTGAATTGTCATTGCGAGAGTTTAGTACAGTACGTGTTGTGATGATGCCGCTTCTGTTTTTTGCGAACCACGGTCTCTCGTGGCCAAAACTATTCACGGCCTCGAAAAAAAAAAAAAAAAAAAGCGGCGCGAGAGAACACTACCCCCACCCTCATCTCTGATACAGTAATCCCTTGTTTCTCACGGTTAATGGGGACCAAAACCACCCGCGATAAACGAAAATCCGCGAAGTAGCGACCAATTAACATATACAGGTTAAAATTTTTTTTTTTTTTAAGTCCGCAAAAAGTCCGCAAACGGTCCGCGAGAAGCTGCAAAACAACAGCGAGTCACATAGAGCAACATATACAGTACTGTACTCCGTGTATATAAAAAAAAAAATCTTTTTTTTTTTTTTTGTTTGAAAAAAATCCACGGTGCACTGAAGCCACGATAAACGAACCGCGAAATAGCGAGGGATCACTGCATTGTGCTCCTGAGTTAATGTTGCTGAACTGAATTTGAATGTTATTATTTATTGATATTATTTCATTTAACCTTCAGAATGAAATGGAGCAATAAATTGGTCAAAAATGTTTACAGTTTAAACAAGGATTTTTATTTTGTTTAATTTCAGGCAAATTGATGCACTGAAAACCTTTTCTGTTACAGACTAAAAAACAATGTTAATAAAGTTATTATTTGCTCTAAGTTAAACTATACTTATTTTTTCTTTTCATTAATGTTAACAAGGATTTAATGTAATGCAAAGGTGTACTGGGAACAATTTTATCGACAAATGAAATTTATAGTGGCAGCAGAGGGTGGGAGACGGGCGCGAATTGTTTTCTTCTTGTTGGGGGGGGTGTAACAGGAAATAATTGAGAAGCACTGGTTGAACTCATTCAATGCCAGCCATTTTAGATAATCACGACAGCTGAGTGCCAGCCACTTTAGAGTATTTTGATAGATTTTTTTTTCCCAGGACCCACGTCTTTTACGATAATTGATACATCCTTCCATTCCGCTTATCTCGGGTTATCAGGGGCAGCAGTTTTTTGCAGGGAAGCTCAGAATCTGCTCTCCCCAGCTCCTTCGTTCAGCTCTTGCAGGGCAATCCCAAGGCATTCCAGCCAGGAGACGGTTGTCCTCGGGAACTCCTCCCAGTGGGTACCCCACCAGGGAGGTGTCCAAGAGGCATCCAAACCAGATGCGGGATCCACCTTATCTCTGGCTCTTCTTGATGCAGAAAAGCAACGGCTCGACTCAGAGTAGTCTCTTCTAGATGATCAAGCTTCTCACCTCAGACACCATGTAAAGCAGCGGTCCCCAACCTTTTTTGTCCCACGGACCGGTTTAATGTCAGACAATATTTTCAAAGACCGGCCTTTAAGGCTCAGTTAAATACAACAAAATAATATGATATGACCTGCATGAAAACTGTGGTATTTTCTAAACATAATAATACACATGAATCATGACACGAAGAACGTCTGATCTGGCCGCAACACTCTCTGGTCGCTATGGTAACGTTTAAACGTGCCTTCAATATAAAACATGTCGCAAATAAAAAGTGCATGAAAAATACGACTCACCATCGCCGCACATTATGCAGAGTGGGCATGGTGCGTGTGATTCTCCTGTTGAGATAAAGCCAAATCTTAAGTAGGACTCGTGACACTGTCTTATGAAATTATTTTTCTTGGAAGTTGTAGGCTCCTCTTGTGTCTTCTGGCTGGGCCTTTTCCCCTTCCCAAAGAATCTTTACAAAGATGTTTGTCTTTGTTTTTTTTTAATAATTTTGCTCGCTCTTGTGTTTCATTTTAGCGGTAACCTATCACTTGACCAAGAAGTGCTGCCTTCACCTGCGTCAAGAGTGACATACTGTAGACGGATATAACAGAGAATCCGGTGATTTTTCGAAATAAAACATCCTTTCAGATTCCGAAATGAATAAAAAGGAAGTAATGTAAGTTATTTAGTCTTTCTGTGCGGACCTGCACCAAATGACCCGCGGACCGGTACCGGTGGTTTGGGGACCACTGATGTAAAGGAAACTCGCTGGTATCCGGGATCTTGTTCTTTCGATCACGATCCAGAGCTTGTGACCGTAGGTCTCCGAGGCTATTTGTTTACTTTGGGTCTTGCGCACTTGCTAAAACACTCAATCAAGACTGTATACACATTTTTATTTGCCTGCATTTGTTGCACTGTTAATGTAAAAAAAATGTGAATGTAATTGTATAATGTATGTTTATCTTTCTCTTTTTTTCTTGAATGTATTTAGTATAGATGTTAATATAATATTGAACTCTCTACTGAGCTTCTCTTCAGTTTTCAGTGCAGATGCTTTAAAACTGGCAGTTTGAAAAAGTTGAAAACCAATAAAATGGTGAGACAGTAATCCCTCGCTATAACGCGGTTCACTTTCCGCGGCTTCGCTGTTTGACGCTTTTTTAAGTGCAGTTTTTTTAATGCTTTTTTTTTTAAACAGTAAATTGTGTTCTGCATCCTGATTGGCTAAGGGACTGACCAACATGAACAGTCTCCGCTCCTCGTCTCTGTACAGCTTGCCAAATTTACCCTTGCAAATTTTTGGTCTTTGGTTTGATTGTATCAGTGGCTGAAGCTGGTCTGTCAAGGAGGGGAAGCTCAATTTCGGCCGACATCATAAAATGTGTCCGTTTATTTATGCGTGAATTCTACTCTCCGTTCCTTTTCAAAAAAATGAAAAGGATGCCTTCACATAAGATTGGTGATTGGCTCACTTCGCTGTCAATCAAAACGAGATTCAGCCTCAGACAGATCATCCAATCATCATGCAGAGAAGCTGAGCGCCCGGGCCAGCCGATATGCTGAGCATCGGATGGGCGGAACAAAACCAGCATTTATCCAATGACTCGTCTCGTTTCAATGCATTGGGACAACCTACACTGAACTCTCTAGACGCCCAGCATCCGCGCGGTCGATGCTCAGCGTCCACACAGTTTAAAGCACAGTGAAGCTGCGGGAATGAATGAGAAGAGAGTTGCGTCGTAACCAGTAATAAGAAGCTGATTCGGAACAAAAGTTGAGCGTGTTGAAGCACATATTTAGTCAATGACATGTCCACACAATTGTATGTACATACATATATTTGATCACTTACTTTTTGACATTTTAGGGGAAGTTGAGCTTGCAGTCTGAGAGCAATCGCCTCTGCGTTGTATACATAGTTCAGTATTGTATAATAACTGTAAAAAATAAAGCTGGCTATCAAGTACCAAGTACAACTTTATTGTCAAATGTGCTTGCTGTATGTGAAACATACAGCACATTTGAAATTTCGTCCCTCTTACATTTTTTCTTTTTTTTTTTTTATTTTTTTAATAAATCCGATTTCACGGATGTCGCTAATCACGGGTTCTTTTTGGAACGTATAACCCCCGCGATAATTGAAGGATTACTGTAATCGAGTTTGGATGATATGAACATTTTTAAAAAATGTTTTGTGTGTGTGTGTTAGGGAGCTGCCAATCAAAGCTGTTCCCCCTTCCCTTCAAATCTGGCAACTACTACTGACAATCAATATATATATATATATATGCATGCATGCATGCGAAATTGCCCCTGGACACTTTATTCCGAAGGTCACTGGGAAACACAAAGTTCTTCACCACGATAAGGTTACAGCTAAAGAAGTTGGGTTGGTAAAACAATGATTTTGCGGTACGAGCTATTTCTTTCCAATCATTCAATTAGCTTTTGTCCCTGTTGCATCCCTCCACTGACAGCATGCAATTTTTTTAAGGCCGTCTTATGTCTCAGCCAAATCTTGTGTTATTTATTGTAGGCGTTAACGTAATTTTTTGACTTTTTCTTTTCTCCCCCAGACGAGAGTCTGAACGAAGAAATCATTCATTGGCTCGTCATGCTGACATACTCGCTGCTGTGGAGACGCGCCTTTCTCTCCTGAACATGACGTTCATGAAATATGTTGACTCCAACCTCTGCTGCTTCATCCCTGGAAAGGTTGGCTATTTGAACTTTACTTTTATCAATAAAGTTGTTTTGAATTAATGGGGGAATGTGCAATTTTAAAAGAATTTTTTTTGGGGGGGGTCTCATAAAAAAAAAAAAAAAAAAAAAATGCCCCGAGTGCTCCGACCACCACAGGCACGACTGTCACCTTTACCTTCCAGGCTCTCTCCAGCTCCTCTCTGAGCCCTTGGTATTTCTCGAGTTTCTCGTGTTCCTTCTTTCTGATGTTTCCATCACTTGGGACCGCTACATCCACTACAACGGCTTTCCTCTGCCCTTTATCTATGATCACGATATCTGGTTGGTTCGCCATTAC